CGTAAGGACCTGAAGAAACATTTCATGTGTGAAACAAAATATCTGAATGTCTCTTTTCGTACTTTTTTTTTTTTTTAAATCACTACATTTTAATAAAAACTCAGTGCTAGAGGAGGAACAGGTGGTGTGGTGAGTAAAAACTATAGCAGGATCTCAAACATCTCCATACCTTGTGAGATCTGGCTGCCAGCCCTGCCTTGTGATCAGTTCCTTCTCCACTCTCAAACTCCTGCAATCTGCCAGTATTTGCAAGGATAGGACATTCAGCCACTGATTTACAAGCTTATTTGGAAGGCATTACCTATTGAAGGGGTTGTATTCTCCTGTGGAATAATTCGTTGTGCCTGCTGTGGTCAAGTGGTGTTAACTTAAGCACAAAATCTAACATTACAAACTCAGGCTATGGCCAGCTCAAATGTTATGGAAATGAACACATTAAAAGTTCAAGGAAGAATGGAGAAGTATGGATAAAAAAAAAATATGAAAAGAAAGAAAGAAAAGAAAAATTCATGATGAGAGATTTTCTGACAACTTCCCAGCTGCATTTACTTCACAGCTGGTAGAAATAGGTGTAGGCTTCATTGACTGTAAAATATTTTTTTGTCCTGTACTGAATTGAACATTTTCAGTTGAAAACAGGAGAGATTTTATATTATCAAGAAAGTTTTTAACAGAACAATTGCAAAAGCTAATGCCCTGAAAGATTCTGCCTTTCAAGAGCTCTGCTTTGCAAAGTTTTGCAAAGATCATAGAGCTCAGTCAAACTTTAGGTTTTGTTTCTCATGGCAAAAAATGCAGAAATATGAAAYGCCTTTTCCTCTTTGCTAATACAGGCTACCGCCCTCACATCATACCCTCTGTTAATGTCTCCTTCACAAAGAAAACAGAAGACATACATTGATYGAAACTGTTTGCAACAGACATCTACACGTCTTTATTTATGGAAATTGTGGATGCACAGCATAATTGATGTGACTGTTCTAACAGGCTAAAGGGTAAATTGCAKCCAACTCCCAGTCCTTTGTGCTTTTTTACCAAAGGCCAATTATTCACTGAATGTGTACAGAATTTTTGAAGGAAAAAGCAAAATCAAAATCTGTCCCCAGATAACCCACCCTATTATTTCTYCACCTTTCTTTTCCAAGCACAGTTGAGAATCTTGCTTTCAATTTTGATAGTATAACAGTTCCTCAGCAAAGCAGTCACAATTAACGTATTTTTCATGGTTCTTTAAATTATCCAGAAAACTTCCTACACAGAAATTCATCTCACCGCAGTTTTTCTTCAGGCAAACAATTGACAAATCCCTGAGAACAAGATGTTTGGGAAAAGAGCCTATGCATTTTGAATTCTTCAGACTTAGTCCAGAAATATAAAATACCAAGATCTCACCAGGCTGGGATCCTGAATTTCCCTGTTCTTCCCATTTGTCCTGTGATTTCATTCCWSCTTCTTGCCTSKACTCCTCTCTTGTGATTCTTGATTTGAAGAAACCTTTAAAATGACTTCTAGTGAGGGAAAATTATTTTTAAAATAGCATAAATGTGTGTGGTAATTGTATAGTTTCATATTTTATCATCTAAGTTGGGTTTTTCCTGATTTTTAGGTCCTTAATAATTACACATTATATTGTTTGCATTGTCCAGACAATGCATTATTTTTTCCTGCCTTCTATTTAGCTTGAAGCACTTCGAAAGAAATGGGAATAAACAGAAATGTATAAGATAAGTTGCAGTCTAAGCCTGTCATCTGAAGCAGGCCAGCATTAAAATGGTCTAGGATTGATGAAGGAGAACTGCATTAGATGAGAGTGGGAGGACTAAAAGTAATTTCTTTCACTGTGGCTTCTCCAGTAATTCAGCTTTTTCTGAGAAACTCCCAATAAGATTGATTTTTCTAGTTTAGTTTACCCTGGAAAATATCTTTCCCTTCCTGCTCATGCAATCTGAAAATTTTAAAGGCAGATTAGATTTTTTGAGTGATTTTAGCACACATCACATGTTGGATGAATAACACTAGGAGCTATAGCCACAGCATAGATGAGACACAGGTAGTGGCATTCTGTGCTGTATTCTACCCTACTGCCAACGTATTGGAAAGGCCAAGATAAACGATAATAGAGCCTCAGTATTCATTTGAGATCTGTCTCTTTAGGTGACAAAGCAACTCCAGGACTGCTAAGTGTCTTTGATTTCCATTTGTTCCATGAGTGGGGCTCAGTGCTTTTAAGTGCTKCTCATCCTGCTCCAAAAGTTGTGTTTTTACYGTACCCACARCCAATGTRCTKWCCCCCACTGATGAATTCTGCTGTASGAATGAGGTGACAGAACAGGTCTGTAGCTCTCTGTCATGGTAATGTTAATGGAAACCCTGTGATTATTGCCCTCCTGAGTGACTTGGTACTCTTCCACACTGAGGAAATGTGGATTGGGATGGAAAGAAAACTTCAGAAGGTTTTATCCCTAGAAACAAAATTGAGGAGAGGGAAGAGGTTTCTTAAGGTGAACTGTCATGGTGCAGAAGTGTCTTAGCAAACAGTACAATGGAACAAGACTGTATCACATTAAGTCTCCTAATAGATGCCAAAGAAATGGTACCGTGGCAGTAAAAGATTCCTTTGATTTTTGTKTCTTTTCTTCTTCCACTGGGAAAGGTAGAGTTCCCTGCCTGTACTGCTTAAAAGTCATGGCCCTATGCAGTTGTCAGCTCTGCTTTAGAAATGATGGTTTAAGAAGCTTCAGTGCGAGGATTTTAGAGAAKTGAGGAATTCTTTTGCTATGCATTTACTTGTATTTGGCTACAAGGTGTGTCCTCAAGCTTCATTTATTGACTGCTGATATACAAGGTACAACTGTGAATTAGGAACAAGACTTCACGAACACCTGGATGAAATAAAAAGCACTTGGGCTAGCCAGCATTCATGGGTTTTAAAGTCTGTTTTTAGCATGGGGGGAAAAGGAAAAATTAATAGTGGATAGTTGGCCCAGCTTTAACAATGTATGGGAAAACTGTATGGACAGCAGGGAACGCTGTGGCTGAGAGCTCTATAGTGGTTTTCATGTTCACTTGTTGCACAGCATCCTCACTTGAACCCGAAGGCAGGTGTGTGAGTTTCAATGGTCCTCTGCTTTCTGACATTTAATTTAGATTGAAAAATGTGAGAATTTAAGAGTTTTACTCATTAAGCTGAAAAATGGGAATGCAAGGATATCCAAAAGATCATTGGCTTTCTCTCAATCACTCTACCAATTTCAATTAAGTATGAAGATTATCTGCAGGGATTGGTACCTGAAAGTTAAAAAGACAAACAGCCTTTTCCGATAAATTAATATAATTGCCTGCTCTTTTCATTTTATTAAAAAACCATTTTTAAATTAAATATTTCAGAGACATTGCAAAAACTGTTGTAAAGCAGAAAGACTCTATTAAAAGTAATTCAATATTTATGCAGCAGACAAACCCAAATCTTTAGATGTTTAAGTTAGTATTCATCTTCAATAATCCTTAGACTGAAATAATATCTCCTMATCTRATCAATAGATTCTTACTTCAGACARTTACATGTCTTATGGAAGTAAAAGAGAACTTATTTCCAACTGTGTAGGTCTAACAGAGTTTGTCTTTCAATTCTGAAATACTCAAAAGGCRAAGGATTGTGTTTATGTACCAAAAGTGTGTAAAGGAATGGAGTCAATTGTTGTTTCCCATATGGTGCAATTCCACATCACTTATGCAGGAAAAAAAAAGTTTCAAATTTGTATAGCACTGCAGAATTCCCAGTGCTTTGTATAGGTGAGACAAATTCTGAACAAAACAGTAAGAAGATCCTTAATAGACAACATTGATTAAACATCCAGTTTCTGTACATAAGTGAAAATTATTTGTTCTTGGAATAGGAAAATTGTAATTTGTGTTCCCTTTAAACCTACTTGCTGGGGAGACATTAAGGTGTTTTTACGTAAAGTAAAAAACAAACTACATACAGATTATCTAATTGGTGACAAATTGCTTTTGCAAATCCCAGGCATTGTACCATCATAAGGTTTTGCATCTGAGAAAGCTACCTCAAAAACAATGTCAGCTTCTCAAATTGCTGAGTGTAGAGCAAAAGGAAGAGGGTGAACATCTTGAGCAGTTGACTGTGGGTGTTTGCTGCATTCACCTATCACCCCTACTTGTAGCTGTGACAAAACATACTGCAGACAAAAGGGGAATTTAAAAAAAAAAAAAAAATCCTTCATCTAAAAATCTGAGATTTTTAAGTTTTTAAGGGAAAGAGCTCTTGCACCACTCCAAACTAGTGTATTTTGGGGCAGCTATTTGAAAAAATAATAACCTACTGCTTTTCATGGCTTGCATTTCTGGGTTCTGGTCACACAATCAATAGTGTGAAGCTCATCCTGGGAGGTTTAATTGCAGTTCATGTTCTGTTTACATGGCAGCTGGATTTTAAAGGAAAGCAACTATGGGAATACAAAACAATGTTTGCTTTCTTCTTCAATACGTCTGATTTGTTTTTCCTGCATGTCCAAGTTCACTTGCAGAAAGTTGTGCATACACATTTGGTTCTCACGAGCATCTGCATGCCTACAGAACTGTGAAAAGTAATTGTGTTTTGATGGGATTTTTTAACTTTATGCTCCCCAGTATGAAAGAAAAACTTAATTAAGGTTTGCAGATAAGATCTCTAAGGAAAGAACATTGTAAGAATTTGCTCTGGCTGCTTTTGTTCTGAGATCTAGAAGTCTATTTCCATTACTGGACAGGATTGGCAGATGAGCTGCAATTAAAGGCACAATAGCAAAAGAGATTAAACACAGGAATGACAACTGACARTGTGGACTTCCTTCAGTGCTTTTTGATACACAGAGAGTGTAGCTCCAAGTCCTGCTCAGTTTACCAGGTTTTAATCACTGCTTTACTTTGTTAACCTCAGGGTCTTGTTATCCTGAGAATTCCTTTGCCAAATGAAAACTCTTGCTTTTCCTTCTTCCCCACAGGAGGAGAGGTTCCATACACAACCCTGGCAACACGACTGATGATGGGAGCTTGGTGGCTTTTTGCTTTGATTGTCATCTCCTCCTACACGGCCAACCTAGCAGCTTTCCTCACCATCACRCGCATTGAGAACTCCATCCAGTAAGTTGATAAAGAATGATTCGAGGGAAAGGAGGGCGAACATAAATATACATGTAGAAGGGTATAAATGTTCTACTTAAATGTGAGAAAAGGAATAAATTTTTATCCTTCTGAGAAGTAGTTTAAAAGTTAGAAAAATAACAATATACCATGGACTGTCAGTCTCCCTGGAGACACTTTGTTTTTAGGATTGGAATTGCTGGCCTCTGGCAGACACTTTTCCCTGTGGCAGACATACATATGTATGCTTGCACACATACATATTTTGGAAGAAGCCACTGAGTTTGAGATGACCACAAAGTATCAGTATCTGAAATGGGAAAGTATAAATCGCTGCTGCGTTCTCCAGCTCTGCTTTCCATTCAGATGTATTCCACAATCCTTATGTTCTGACACTTCGGTGGGAAAGAACTCAATGCCTCTTCAAAACTTCAAGCTCACTCAGAGTCAATTTTGCCCCTTCTGCCCCCAGATGCTCTCTTACTACATAAGCAGATCACATCATTTTCTCTTTTCCATCTATTYGTTCTTTTGCTTCCTGCCTCCCAAAAGTGAATGTCCTTGTTCTCTCCTTCACTTTTATGGTGAGCTCTTTCTGTCACACCTTCCCATMTTTTTTTGCAGAACATGTAATCTTTCCATACCACAGGATCTGGGCTAAGTCTCCTACCCTTTCTCTCTGCCCTTTTGTACTCCAGTATCATCTCCTTCAGCAAGCTGCATACTGAGTTATCCTTGCTCCCATTGCTCCAGTGACATCCTTCACCTTCAAATGCTCACCCCTGGGTCAAAGCAGAGACTAGAAAATACAGTGAAGCATTAGCTAGCCAAGCACTGTGAGGGACAGCTGGCCATTTTTTCATAGCAGGTGTATCTTGAGGCTACAAGTCTGTGAAAGTATGTGAGAGTGACAAAATTATCCTTTCCTATCTATCCTTCTTTGCAAAAATCATAGAGTGACTTTAGAGAGGCATATTTCACTGTATTTATTCCTTCGGAAAGGTARGAATCTGACCTTCAAGTCAGGCTGAACACTGACCTTAGGAGAAATTCCGTTTTCTCAGTCCAGTCATTGATTCAAGTCCCTGACTTGTGTGTGTCACYACCTAAGGTCTTCCTGCCTCTAGATCAGCTGCTTTCAAAATCTCTCTGAAATTCCCCTTGAGACATTGAGCCACTATCACAGACTGAGCAGGGGAAGCCTTGCCCTCCTGCGAATTCATGGGTCAGGATCAAGCACCACTGCGTGCCAGCAGTCACTGTGCTCGCACTTCTCCTCAAGGTGAGGATTTTCTGTGTGCTAAAACCAGCCCCAGCTTTCACACAGGCTGGTGAGCACCTKCAATAGCAGACAAGTTCCATTTGCAATTGAAGCCCAAGTTCAGACCCAAGAGCAGCCCCTAATTTTGAGTGGATGGTTATCTCTGACCCTCCCCATTAGGAGCATCCTCTTGCCCTTCATGAACCCACCCTTGKAGTGTCTTCGGTGATGGAGGTGCAGGGAGAAGTTGGTGTTCCATGGCCCAAATTGCCCAGGCTTTACCTGTCCTTATTCATTCCYAATTGGAAATTTTCTATGGTTATCTTTCCTTTCTCAGGTAAAAACCATACCACTTTCATCTGTCAGAGGGCTTCATACCCTATAACAGAGATATAGAAAAGAGACTAAAATCAGATGAGTACTTCCCTGACACTGTTGTATTGCCAGTTAAATGAAGTTATCATTTTCCTTTGTGTTCCGAATAACAGATTTTGAGATCATGCAATGCTGCAGGGGGATTTTGACAACCCAGCCATTTGACTCTGTAGTTTCAATTATAATCCTTCAAAATTTATATGGGAATAAATTGATACTCTGTGTCAATGCTTGTCAACACTGATCTTGAGATTTTGAGGGAAGTTGATTTTTTTYCCAAGTTTAAAAATATTTAAATTGGACCTAGGACTGTGAAGAAACAACATGGGAATTTATACATGCAAAATAAATAATAATGATMTATTCACTCATTCAGTTTGTCCTTACAGTAATGAAATGTGCTTCTGCATTCTGCTTAGAAATCATGTCCCTTCTAGTTTTGAAGCAGTCCAGAAAAATGTKCAAGTTACTGTGACAAATGTCTGTGTTTTCTTATGATGTGTAAAAAARAATAAAATATGCCCAAACTATAATTTAATATATCTTCAGTTTTTTCTTGCAGTTTATTATGATGTCACTAGAAAACCCTCAGTGGAATTTGGAGGTTATTATGTACAGCTGGGATTACATTGGTCTTTGTGCTGTATTATTTATGGTCAAAGTCACTGAAAATGTTTTATTCAGTARAAAATGTGGCAGCTGAAAAACTCCTGGAATGAAAGAACAGAGACATTTTTCAACAGCAAAAATRGAGTAATTAGATGTGTTTAGTATCCATTAGGGAATGAAGTTACCCTAACTATGGTGTGAGCGTAAAACTTTAGTTTACAAAACTGACAAAATTGGAACTTAAACCAGCACATAAGAGAGAGGATGTTTGTTTACCATGCTGAATTACTGCAAAGTGGAAAACATGAATAAGCAATAAAAAAAAAGCTGATGCTCCTTTTTTTCCTTTTGTTTTTCTTTTTTTTTTAACAGTTCAAATTGTACCTTAGGGAGCCTTCAAGGCCAGAATGGAAATGAGTATAAGCATTTTTTTAAAAATAATCCAGATTCCGCTTGTAGTGCTATCCAGTAAGCTTCAGAGAAGTGAGAGAAAAAAAAAAGAATTAAATTGAAGTCAGTGGGTTTGCACAGATATAAAAAGTAGTTAATAGTTTTTCATTTTGGATTTCCAGCTAACATCAGATATTGCAGTTGTTGTTGTAGGTATGGTCCTCGTGTTATCTTTTACAAAAGATAGGAGGATTCAAGCAGCCCACAGCACATTTCATTTCKGTGAAACATTTTGGCAGTTACTGCATTTGAGCTTCTGAGTAGAAGCTGCTTTGTTTTCAGAGCTCSTGCAGCTCTGAACACAAAGCTCTTCCCTTGCTCCCCTGGTGTGGAGGCTGGGCCACTCTTCCTAGCCAGTGCCTCATGATATCCAGAACTCTATTTTGAGAAGTAAACCGTGCAAAATTTTATTAGTCCATCCACTAAAGAAGACCATTAGAGAGAGAAGTGTTCCCTTTCCCTGTGAAGTCTCAAAGTAGATCTGTGCTGTATAACCTCCCTTGATAACATTTGTGCTCTGCCTGTGCTTCTGTTCAACTGAAATCAGATTTTTACAGTTCTTAAATTAATTTAGACAATCTAGAAGAAAAAGATTTTTTCTCTCCTTTTCCAGAGAAATGGTTACTCTTAAGACCTTTGGGAGCTCAGTTTTCACCTTCTGCAACCAAGTTTCTGCAATATCAAGAGCAGAAAGTCAAGTTCTAAAGTAGTTCCTGAATGCATCTTTTGTTCACACTTGACCCACATGGCAGATGACATTTAAATCAAGGCAGTCAGCATTTCAAATGCCAAAACACYGTGGCAGCAAAGCATAATTTCTGTGCATCCTAAATCTTTAGATCACTTTCTCRAATGCAACACAAATTAATTGTAATTAGGAGTGGCTTTTCTTGGTAAATGCCAAATAAATTTGGAGGTCCTGAGCTATTACTCATAGGTGCTCACGCTCTGAATTTCATCACKGAGCCAGTGTTGACATTATTATGTTTTACGATTCCTGTAGGACCAAATTAGCGTCCATTGGCAGAGATGATTTCACTCCAATTACTGCACTGTTTTTCTGGATTGGGGGAGGCTGTCACCACCTTTGCATGGGCACTGACATTTTTCAGGAAGGTTGGGGGTGAGAGATGAAGGGAACAGAGAAGTCAATGGATTTTTGGTTTCAAGTTCAATCCACTTGGAAAAGTCTGGAAGCTTTAGAGTTTAAATTGTGCATATTGTGGGGGAAAATGTGCATTTGTGTGTTCTGTAGAATAAGTTCACATTATGTYCTCCATGTTATAACTATTCTGTCTGGTTTGATAGGTGAGACCTCTGCCTGCTAAAATGGAGGCACAGTAGGAAAACAGGGCTTTCCTGCTTTGTCATTCTTTTCACAACATTTTGCTAAAACCTTGATTCAGTGGTATTTTATCACCTAAAAAGAAATTTGGTTATTTCTGTATGAAGATGACCTTTTTTTTAACATTTTTCTGTGTATTTTTTAATACCTTTGGATGATAGGAGAACATGTTACCAATTGTGAGTAAAGGATTTGAATTTATAGAAGAGGATAGTCTTTGGAGAAAGAAACAAATCCAAATCCTACTATGTTTTTCTTCTAGCTGTAGGCAGAGATAATTTTTTTAATTGCAAAGTAATTGATTTGTACTAAGCCATAAAGTGAAAGTGACCTGACAACTGCTGCCTGATTAAGGCGTAGAATACTAAACAAAATCAACAAATRCTGAAAAATGCATCTAGCTGTTAATAATTCTTCCTCAAATGCTCAATTCCTCCTCAGAATAGCTCTATTAGCCTAGCTAATTTAGGATAATATTGATGCTGGGATAATATTGGTATTATCCAAGTAATTGCAATGAGACAAAAACCTACCATAAAGACCACACATAATATTTTTTCCCACAGTGCTGCATGAGTGATAGACAAAAATAAGCTGAATTATGACCTGAGTGCATGGTCACTTCCATAGAAGTAGAATTTGTATACAAAMTCAGTTAGTGAAACCTTATTTTTTAACAGCTTTTTCAACTGTAGCTGTTTTTTTAATATTTTAAACATTTTTTATCATTCATTACTTTATTGCTCCAAAATGAGAAATTCAAGGAGAAAAAAATTGTTAAATGTGAGATTCCAATTTGCTTACTCATACTAATGAGTGCTTTGCTTTGCAGGTAGTTTAACTGAGAACTGTTGAAAAAGTAAATTTCAGTGTGGGTAATGGAATCAAAATTTGGGCATCAAAGGATACCTTGTATGAATTAATCAAATTGGCGAGTGCTTTTTCCTTATTTTGAGATCTGGTGTGGCAGCTGAGTGTGAAACTGAGTGACAGAGTGAAGCTGAGGATTTATGTGTCCTGTGAACGCATCTGTCTGAAAAGGGAATGAATTGTTTAACAGGAATAGAGGTACACCAACTAACGTGTAACCTATAAACCAGGCTAGAGGCAAAGCAGCTATAAAAGTTCTTTATTCTGGAARGGAACCTCAGTGGTTTAATAATTCTAGTAGTTCTGTCAAAGTTTGTCATCTCTCTTTGTTTTGCTGTACCATAGGTGAATATCACACCTGCAGGAGCCTSCAGAGCTGTGGGATATTAAACCAACAGCTTCTGAAGGAGGTCATGTATATATTACCATCCCATTTTACATGTTTGTGTGAGGGGAGGCAGTCACTGATGTGTGATAGATCTTTGCTGGTTTTGCAGCATATACACGCGTGCCCCTCCAAGGCTCCCAGACTCCTTTCCCGCTCCTCAGTCCACGGTCAAGTGAACCAGAACTTTGGGTTTACTGCCAACAGCAGTGTTTAGCACATCCACAGAGTTTACACTTATATTTGTTTTGCTTTTGTCCTCTTGTCATCATTTTCTCGGCGTGGAACRTCACCTGTGTCCGTGAAGAGATGCAAGTAGGGCAGCTGAGAGGTGTGCTGTGTTTCAGGATAGCACATCTAACAGTGAGGCACTGCAGACTCCACTTAATGCCAGACTTGGCAACTATAACACGCCTTCCTGAAGGCACTGACATAATTCTGCTCCTTGTTATGTCCCTGCTGGTGGTGCCTTTGTGTGTGATAGCACACTTGCTTCTCRGCCTGTTTGCTTCCCATACCTGGCTGTAGTACACTTCAGGACTGATTGCTTCTGCCTTGTGCTGGTTTGCCTTTGTGAAAATAACAAAGTTCCTTTTGTAACAACAAAATACACACAGGAGCTCTTTTGTGCTGTTTTTCACTGGTTTGTGGCAGCAGCTACACCTGTCAATTTTATACTGTTTAGCAATAATATATCCAAAAAATATTTGTTGCTTTAGAAATTATGTCTATACAGGGTGTCGTAAAGTAATGATTGCAATTTTACTAAGCATTGTCATTAGAAATTGGAGACTGGACAAATACTTTTTTGTATACTTTTCTAGTATGACAAATAACAATTACAGGACATTGCAATATGCATCCTGTGACAGCTCATTGCACCGCTGAGCACTGCCTGTTGATTACAGGAGGGTATTGGCAGCAGCAGCAGGAACACAGGATGGATGAGTATGGTATGCTGTATTCATCTGGTGCCTTTCATCAGTGATGCTTCTGACAGATAGACAGACTCCCAGCACTTTGCACAACACTTTGCCTAATGGTAAAATAAGGAGAAACTCAGCAAGGCCCACTGCTGTCTGCCAGAATGCCTCTCTGCAGAGCTGTGCCTCAGCCTGGGTTGTTGTGGGGTTTTATTCATCCCCAGCTGCRGAGCTTTCTATTTGTCCTTGCTGAATTTCACATCCCGTTCCTCCAGCCTTTCTAGGCCCATCTGAGCTCCAGCCTGTCCTTGAGCAGGTGGCTTGTCCCCTGTGTCATATCATCTGCAAACCTGACAGGAGGGCACTGGCTTGCATCCTCCAAGTTATTGGAGACAATCCCAGGTCAGTTACCCCTCTGGGGTACCTGTTAGCAGCCTGCAGGTGATCTRCCCCATGAGCATGATAATTCAATTGGGAATTTACAAAAACTGGTTTCCCACACAGCCACACCTAATGACCTCATTTGGATACAAGAATAATGTGGGAGACAGATAGGCTGCCTGGCTACAGTTAAAGTAAGGTATGGTATGCCTGTCTAAAGTTAATGTCTTTGTTTCTCTAGTCTTTTCCACAAATGAAGTAATTTTAGTGCAAAAGGCAACCAGATTGGTCAGGCATGACTTACCTTTAGTGAATCACTGTTGAGTGCTGCTAGTTAGCTGCTGCTCCTTCGTGTGCTCAGAAATGTGCTCTGAGAGGACTCACTCCATGAGGTTGGACAAAMAGCCATAATTCCATTAATCATCTTTTTTAACAGTCTGGACATTTTCTTTCTTCTGTGGCAATGGATCTCCTTTAGCCTCCTTCACCTTGCAAAAATTAAAGCAGGTGGCCTTGCAATGACATGGCTCAGTTCATTCACCACACTCTGCCACTTGCCACGGACTTCCGTGGATCTACTGATCCCAATCAATCCCTGCCTTTTCTGGTTGGAATTTACCTGGCCATCGACTGCTAGTTGTTTGTTGCCTTCTTGAACTCTGCCTGTAGTCACATGGACCTGGGAGACCTTGGGGAGGAAGAGTGAGGCCACCCAGAACCTGAGCACCTCTGTTTTAGCTGTGCCTACTCTGTCCCCATCAAGGGGTTCACACCCTTCTTGTTCAGCCTTTTAGGTCTGCACAAGCTGTTCTTGTTATCCTTGAAATCCCTCCAGAGCATCCATTCTGATAATTTCTGATGTTACCCAGAGTTGCTAGGAGGTGTTTTAATTTCCTCCTTTGAAGGTTGTCCATATTTCCACCATCTGTATATTGTTTGATGAGATGAAGGTCTTTTTGAAATTCTTGGGGTTATTTTTTAGTAATTTCAAAGTGTAATAGATGATTGAATTGCTTTCCCTGGAGAAACCTACCTGGTGGCTATGTCTAGACTTCAGGACTGATCTTTAAAATGGTATCAATCCTTTTTTCAGTATGTTTATTAAACTTGAGCATTTCACCTAATGCCCAATTCACCTAATTACTTTCACGATTCCCTCGACTGCCACATTTTAAAATATTTACTGCTTCCCTTTTGCTCACTGGGTGTAAGGAGGTTTCATATTTTTGCTTACAGCTCAGCCATTTTATATTTAAYCTTTCAGAACTCAAAGGTGTTCATCTGGACTCAATTTGTTTTTTACTTTTCACTTACAAACTAACCACAGTATTTAATGTCCTGATGCCTTAGTCTACCAGAGCCTCATGTTTTACCTCATGAAATAGGGCATGTCTTGGTGCTCTAGTAGAAGGAAATGTTACACTTAGCATCTCGCCTTTGATGGTTCCACATATGTACAGATTCTTTGCAGGTTCCCTTTTGAAGAGGAACATGATCTTGTTGGAAAAAAGAAGATCAGATTTAGGGATTTTTAATACCATTAATTATTTACTCCTCACAATTACATTTATCCCTTCTTTATAGTTACTATGTGATATCTGATTAGAATTTAGCTCTTGGTCAGTGTTTTTCTAAGCCCATATGTCTGAATTTCAAAGGATTTATCTTTTATTTAGCTAACGTCTAAACCCTTGCCATTGAGCTCTRTTGATTTCTTCTTTTCCTGCTCTCTTTTTTGTTCATGGCATACATACCCTGTGAGATCTGATTAGTTTTCTTCAGTGCCATCCCCAGAACACCTAAGAATTCCTTTTTCCCAACCCCCCACCCTGTAGGGCCATTTTCATTAGCCTTCTTATTTACATGTTTCAAACACACAGCTTGGCATTTGATAGGTTTCCTACATTGCTGTTTGCRTTTTCTGTGTCTGCAATAAGCTTTTACAATTTGCTGTTGCCTTCTTTAAGACAGCATTGAGCTCCTTGATTGTCCTTATGTGTCATCCACTAGATTTGTGCAGTTTATACACAGTTAATTTGTGCTGGGAAAGCTGTAATGGGTTTTAAGCAGCAGACATATTGCAGTAGTTACTTTGAAATTTTAATGAGTGCCATTAAAGAATCAAAGGTACAGGAGAGCAATTCTACAGGAAAGGAAAATAAAGGCCAAGAGGTAAGGAAACTTTAAAAGGTTCTAAAACACTAGTTTTAAGTCCAAAGCAGGTTGATCAAACCCCATTTGGTATGCTTTAGAAACTTCTAAAATGTTTATTTTGGGGTTTTTTTTTCTGGCTTTTAGAGAAGGGTATGACTAGATAACATGTAAAGCAGAACAAATTTCTTAGGCTAAATAACATGAACTGTGATGGAAAAGCATTTCATGAAAGTACAAATCTCCTTATTGCTGAAAATAAATAAAGGAAGTGTGACTTGTGTGATGGGTGCACAGTTCAGAGCAGGAGCACCACCACCAATCTGCCCTTCACAGTCAACCCAGGAGCACCCAGAGGTGCTCAGCCCAAGTGCTCTGGGCTAGATTTCATGGGTTCCAGTGCTGACAGTTCCTTCCCACAGCAGGGTGTGTGTTTGCTCTTCTGTAGGCTGGTACCCAATTTCTGTAGGAGTCCAATGAGCTCTGAGTGACTCCAGTATTCCCTACCTCTCCCTTGCCCCTGCTCAAAGGAGCTTGGCATTTCCCAGGATCCTCTTAAACCTTCTGTTCTTTTTTCATCCGTTTTCACTTTTTCCACCCCTTCCTTTCACTGCATATTCATCTTCATGTCTTAAATCATAAAAACCAAATTTTCAGTCTTGGTTTATCTTTTAAGAAAAAAAAGCAAAAGGAAAAAAAAACCCAACAGAGGAAAGTGTCTTGGCAGCTGCCTTCCTCTGTGCCRCCCTTTGTTTGCCTGCAGCTCCTTCCTCTTGAAAACATGGATTAAAGTCTCCTGTCTCTCTTTCTTCACCAWCAATTCAGGTCTCTCCAGGATCTCTCAAGGCAGACGGATATTCCTTACGGCACAGTCTTGGACTCGGCGGTGTACGAGCACGTGCGGGTGAAAGGGATGAATCCCTTYGAGAGGGACAGCATGTATTCCCAAATGTGGCGCATGATCAACCGGAGTAACGGCTCGGAGAACAACGTCCTGGAGTCCACTGCAGGCATCCAGAAGGTACTGCCATGTTTGCTTTGTGCTTCCCACTGGAGATGCTCTGTGTTACACCACGTTGGCTCAGTTGTTGCTTTTAACCACAAGGGATGCATTTGAACCCAGGCAGTGATCGTGTTTGGAACCGATTTCTGAAAGCACAGAGGATTGGGGCTTCTTAGGTTTGTAGCATTTAACAGCATTTTAAAGTATAAACACCTAGACTGTTTGCTCCAAAAAGTATTTCCAGATGTATTTATAGGAGATGGGTGTATTTGTCAGGATGCAAAATGGGAATAGGATCACTAGATTTAGAACCCCACAATACAAGACATTGATTATCTTATTTTGGTAGTCTTCTGGCACTGAAAATCCTTTCTTGGTGTTGTAGCTCTGGGTCGTGTTTGTTTTGAGAGGGGGAGACAGGAAATGGTCTGGCTTTAAAGAAGAGTCTCACAGCCACTTTCTGTAGTAGGTTTAGAAGTGGAAAAATACTTGGAGAGCTCTTTGTAGGCACATTTGTGAGTGCAATGGTTCCCTCGCAATTTCTGGCTGACAGCTACAGCTTTTATAGAAACACTATATGTTTATATAGATATAAATACATATATTTATATATAYATATAATCCTTGAAAGRATTCAGTATAAGAGTCAAKATAGGTTAATGAGTGACTGTATGCAAGCTTTTCCCCTACTATTGTATCTTTATATTCAGAATTCTAAATCAAAGAAATYTCATATTTTACTGACTTTATTTTAAACTTCAAAATGTGATGATTTAGTAGAGAAAATACCCATGAATTGTTACAATCTCAAAACTTCTAAAAATCCATATGAACTCTGCTTTTTGTCTCCACCAAAATGCATTGGCCAGGAAAGCCTGTAATTTCTGATGTTCTCACTCTAGATRGTAACAAGAGAAAAGGGTAAGTTAAGGAGAATGATGAAATCACTGGTGAGCTCTTGAACAAGAGCTACAAGAACTACAAAATAACAAAGATTATTTGGAGTTTTAAAAATCACCAATCCAAACTCTGRATAACCAAGATCGTATTTTCTCCTCTGAAAGACTAAACAGCATAAAAGAAGAGGCAAGAGAGCCCCCGGGGAGCTGCACTTTTGAAACCCCTATAGATAAAGTCATAAGCTGAAAGAGCAAGAGAAAAGGGTCTGAAGATTTATTGGCTAGAGGAAATTGCTTTTTTTGAGAAAACGCATTTTATCTCAGTTTTTAAGTGGCTGAGAAACCTGGGGTTTGCCTTTTGTATATATAGAAATACCCAGAATGAAAAAGCTTCCCTCCTTCTGATTTGCCTTCCCAAGTTATAAAAAGAGTTTTGGAAGGATCAGAAACCAGAGTACATCTAACACAGCTGTGCTGGCTAACAGCTTGTAGCTGACAAAAACAAACAAAGGGTGTATCCTGCTGGTAGGTAATTCCAGATTATAGTCATGGATTTCTTATTCCTGGAAACATGGCAATTGCTAACCTAAAACCTACAAAACCCGAAATATCTAAATTCTTAATTTCCCMTGGTTCTGCTTCCCAACAATAAGCAAATGATGATGTCAAAAAACTAAGTAATGTCAAGTGAGCAAGCCAACCAACGTCCAGTTTTAAAAAAAATCAGAGGTTTTAGGCCTGATTTTAATGAACATACACCTTTACCTATGTGTGCACAGTTTCTCCCCTTCCTTCAATTTACAGGAAGAAATAAAAGAAATAACACAGAAAAAGATTATTTGCCAGCTGCTCTTCACACAGAAGCTTTTGGCAAGCTGTAGTTGGCCTGCTCAGGAAGAAAGCTGAATGAAGAAAGTGATGTTGAAAGCTAATCATAGGAGAGGAAAATGAATTTTTTAAAAGGTGTCTGATAAAAGGGAGAGATTATAATCTCTGTAACACACTTCAAAAAAATGAAAACATTTCAGGAAAGAATTCACGGGTCCCCTTGGCCTATTTATATGCTTCATAATGCTCTTGAGGGTCTTTAATGAATTTAACTGGCCACATCAGAGCTATTAACCCAATCAYAGCCCTGGGCAAGCTAAACCAACAGTGCTCATTCTGTATACACCATTCATCAGCACTAAAGCGTGGCTGAACAGCAGTTTGTCCAGGCTCCACAAGGCTGTCACCTCTGCACACATTCCTGGAGTGCCAAGTGAGACAGCAGAGCCTTGATGAGTGCATCCAAATAGGTCCAGGGAAAGGGATTTCCACTCAGCTGAGTAATGACCATGAAGGGATTGGGATAGGAGGGACCACCAYGGGAGAGGGGTGTGCAGGAATGCAGTGGACACTGTATGTACACCCATCTGTAACAACACCCTGGAGGTTAAATGGGGTTTGCAAGGAGCCTTCATAGAAGATGCTTCCCCAAATATTTTTGTAAAATCATAAAAGTTTTTTCAGTTTTGTCTTGCTTTTCTTCTGATAACTCTGGTGGTGCTGGGACTGTTTTATTGTGAGGAAAGTAGCAGTCTGATGCTAATATGTATATAAACAGGGGGAAGGGGACACGGACCAACCACTGATTCACTCAGCTCATCACCCCTGTCACTCAGCAGGACTTCTGCTTGCTGTAGCAGTGGCTTCATGGGGAATGACACCCGTGTGAGCACAAATACAATACAGCCAAATGACAGYGATTGCACAGCCCCACTTTGCATCAGGCAATCTGCCACTTTGCCCTGCTTTTCCTGGCAGGAGGGCAGGGCAGGCAGGAGAAATAAGATGGGAAGATCATGCCATTGTAAGTTTTCAGGTTTTGATATTTATTGCTCGTGTTCCTCTCGTAAATCAGGTGCATACATATCATCACCGTGTGTGTTCCTGCTCCATCCATAGTGAACAGCTATAAATACCACAGATCCAGCCAGAGAGCAGCTGGATAGATTTACCCTGAAGAGAGAGCAGTTTTAAATACCTCAAACAGGAGACAGCCTGAAAAGCACAGGCACTTTAGGTATTATTGTCTCTTSCCTTCTCAAAAGGCAGCAAAAAGCTGTTGAAGGTCTGAATTTAAGGTAGGGAAGCACTMGGTTGTTTGTCTTCCTGTGCTGTCAAATCAAAATGGATGGGGAGGWAGCTGTATTTTTATATAAGCTTGGATTATTCTGGAGAATATTCACTTTTATCTTCCCTTTTTTATTATTCCTAAGTGTTTCATGTGTCTCAAATTGATTTTCCTTTTTTTGCATAGGTTATGAAATATGCATCTCATTCCGTCATAGGAATCTCTATTTTTGCGGAAGTTATTTATTCAGAGAGGATTTACAGAGGCCTAAGTCATGCCTGCTTAAACATTCATTGAGGACTCCAAGAAAAATCATTTAGGCTTAAACMTATCACATTACATACCTCTTTATGTCTTCTTAAAAAGCACATTACCCTGCTTAATCCTTTACAAGCACCACAGGCTTTCCCATCCTTGGAACTATTCCCATTTAAAATATAATGAAGCGCTTCTATTGTGGYCCTGTCTGCTCTTTCTTCCCTGGAGTACAATAGTGCCTAATGCCCTATCCTACCCACCTTGTTCCTCTGAACATGATACCATAGCCTACAGCATCTTCATTTTTCTCACTAGTACAGAGTGGAAAATTCCTTTCCCAGGCAGAACCTGAAAGCATTTGAAACGTCTTCTGTCTGTTCAACTCCATCTGCAAGATATTTAGCTGCTAGGAAACTTGTGAAATAATGCTTCTGGATGGTGCATTAAGAGAAACTCTTTGCAGGTTCACAGTACTTCCTTTTCAACTTGCATGCAGCATCAGAAGAAATTTGGTCTTGAGGTTTGGGTTTTCTTGTGATCCTAATTGCAATTCCAGTGGAAGCGTGCTAGCAACTGCTCAACCCATTTGTTTTCCCTGGRTGCTGTGGATGGTGCTTTTACCCTCTTGAAATACTGTAATAGTAAAAATATTTATGAATACACCATAGCAAAACTGTGCTAATGTTATTTGTATGGGGAAGAAATAATAACAATATAATAAGGATATAATAATTTGCAAGGAATAAGGATAATAACAATTTGCAATTCTGTGCTAGAACAAATTGTTGGTAACTGACCATGGTTATTCTTAATTTGGCTACAGTAGCCAAGACATTAGAAAGACTTATCCTGATGGGCCAAAACCCCTCCTGAATCACTAATTATCCTCATATACTCACAAATTTGCCATTGGAATTGCCATTCTTGTGGCAGACACACTGATCACACCACAAAAAAAGGTCTTGTTAATGTATGGAAGTCCCCACATCTGTGTTGTGAACATTTCTGACCGTGGAGTAGCCCAATGAAAAGACACTGAAAACRAAAGAGAACCAAGGCAGATTTTTGGGACACTGCATCTGTACCATGACTCAGCATCTTGAGAGTGGCTAAGAAAGGGATAGAATATTATCATGGGTGGTCTGGCTATTTTTTTTTTCCTATAATCCTGTGTATCTTTACTGCCATATCTGGGGCTTAAAAAAATCTTACAGCAGTGAAAAAACTGGAATCTTGACCAGATAGCATTACAAACGCGGTCTGGTGTTAGTTTCAGGCATTATCAAAATGCTAATAGTTATCTGGGTGAACTTAGGAGCTCTGTGTATTTGGGACGTACAATAACTGGTCTGTGACAGTTAACAGAGCACGAAGCAGATTCTGTGCATGGCTTTAAAAATTAAATGCAAAACTTTTCCTGCTACCACATTTTCTCAGAATTCAGGGTATGTTTAACAAAAGGCTTGCTTTCCCTCACTGTCACTTCTGAGTATATAATAAGGTCTGGTCTGACTTTGACTTTCTAGAGAGTTTTCACAGGTTTTATCTTGAGTAGTACACCTGTAAAAGTTACTTTCTGCCGAGCTGGGCTTTATTCAAATGAAGAGGCAAGTCAAATTTTGAGTTAGCMTACATATCAAGAAATGGATCTGCATAGACGTGTTCATCCAGCAGCTAAGCAAAGCAGTTATTGCTGTATTTCCTGTGTCTCCAAAGTTTTCAGACAGGTTTATCTGAGTTCATCT